GACCTGCAGAAATTAGATGTGAAACAAACCATTCAAATTTCTAAACTAAACTTACCAAACCAAAATTTTTTTTTTATAAAGCAATTTACTTATTTTAATGCAGCCTGTCCACTGGAAAGGACAGCCTGAAGGTTTTCTAGGATGTCCTTAACTCTGCTGATGGCTTAAAGATGTTTAATTGCCAGCTTTGTGGGAGATGGAGAGGCAACAGATGTTGGTTATACCACATTCAGAGATTGCCACAGTGACAGAAAAAGCACAAGGCAATCTCCTCGGGTTTGCTTATCCACTTCTGTAATTGTTTATAATGAGAGTGCTGTTCCATAAAACAGTAGAGGAGAATGCATGGATATATACTAGCACCTCTGATGAGTTGATGAGCTGGAAATAGCAGGCAGCTACTGACTCTGATGCTGTTTGATGTTTTGACTACTTCTTGATCCCCTTAGTTAAGCTTTGTTCAAGAGAGCAGTATCAGGTCATGAAAGTTTGAACAAAGAAAATTCTAGCACAATCTGACAGGCAAGTAAACATGACAAAACAATAACTGGATACTGTAGAGGAGTTGAAAATGTATCACTGGACCTAAAAAAATAATTTTGAATTAAAATTAGCTTTGACATGATTGAGTAAGCCAGACAGTAGAAAAATTGAAGTTGGGAAAACTTTTAAGTGGACAGAACTGTGGTCCTTAAAGGGAGGAAAATGAAAATAAAATAAAAATGAAGATAAAATCAAAATTTAGTACAAAACCATATTTCACTGATGGAAAAAAAAATTGAAAAAAAAAGGAAGATGTGTTACATTTTCAATGGAGAACAAACAGTAAGTCTCTCCAGCATGTATCTCAGACAACAGCTGCAATGGTAATACATTCTGAATTTTGCAGTGAATGGAATTATGATTTTTTCTTTTTATTTGTTTTCCATGTGTTATATCAGTTGACTAAATTTTACTTCACTGTTTTTAAAGATTTTAAATTTATTAACTGAAAAATAAACAACTCTCTAGTACTGTATGTAAACTCTTTTCCTGCAAACCTCTGAGCCTGAGACCATTAAGAATGGGAAATTCTAACTCAAAGAGGGTGCTGGGGAACAATGAAAGGGAAAGAGAGAGGAAGGATTAATCATGCAATCACTTTACCACTTACACTTTTAAGGTAATATAATTCATGGAAAAAGGCCATTACCTCCATCTTTATGTGTAATTCAGAGATAGTTATATCAGTCCAGGAAGGTTCATCTCATGTCAGAATTGTCTTGAGCAGGGTTTCTTTGAGGCATACATATGTGTGAATTTATCAGCGTGATTTTTGTTACAACATTTCTTTTGATAGAAAATTAGTTTTGACTAGATCAACTTGAATGATTAATCAATTTCATTCTTGGACTGTTTTCACTTTTATGTGATTTTCCTAAGGCAGGGACCACTCATTCTGAAAATTGACTAAGCACCTTGTGGACCACCTCAATTATTTGCTATCTACAGGAAACTTTCACCAGCAGTCCTCAAAGCAAGGCAAAATGATGATGTGGTTCTGAGCTCAGCACGAGTTTGAATCAAGACACAACTGCTTCAGAAAGATGAAAAAATTTTGTCATTGCTGGAGGTCTGAATCCATGGGGAGCTGAATACCTTTGAGAGAGTGAAAATCTGACTCACACCACAGACAGCTGTAGCACAGTGCACTTTGTGAATGGTTGTATGCTGATTCAGGGGGGTTACCCCTGAATCCCCTTATAAGAGCTCAAGGGAAGGTGTTAGCCAAGAGCCCTTGCATTTTACAGATGGGAAATTCAGTGCTCGGTTGTATTCTGAAGGTGTGAGATGATGGCTCCTTAGTCAGCCTGCTCCACCAGGATTTCCTGCAGGAACTCTGCTGCCCATGATCCCAGCTGGCACAGGGTTTCCTGAGTAAGTGCTGAAGCACTTCAGGGATCTCTGATGCAGAACTTAGCCAGCTTTTCCCACGATCTCTGTAAATGTTATGAAACTATTTTTCCCTGTTTATAATTTCTTATAAATGCACATCCATAAGGCTCATGAATATTTCTTAATTTTGGCCTTAAGCTTGTTCTAGTACTGGACTTTAGAAATCAGTTACTAAGATTCCTAAATGTGACATTTACTATAGAGGTTGAATGTTATTATGCTTGTCTGATACACCAACTGACAAGAATGTTTAAATATGGCAGTTCTTAAAACTCAGTTAAAAGGATATTCACTTGATCCGAATCTTCTAAAATGAATGTACTATTTTTCTGGGGCTTGCTGCATAATGATCCTTCCATAGAACACAGAGTGCCAATAACCAAGATTTTGAAAAACTGTAAGAGTGCAATTCATATTGCTGGACACAGCTGAATTCAGCTAAATACTGCCAGTTACAAAATACTTTAAAACATCAAAAAGCAGAAGAACTGCACATCTATTTTTACACCTGCCTAGGGCTTGTACACTGTTTATGCAATTTGACTCAAGCTGACTTGCTTTATGAAAAAATTTGGAAAAGCAGCAATGTTTTATTTACAGGCAGTTTTGTTGGCTATCACAGTTTTTATCCATTAATTGTGTTCAGGAAAAACTGGCTAAAAATGATATCTGATCTTTCAAAACTAATTTTGCTGTACTTGTGACATCTCAGTTGTGGTTTTAAATGCTGCCATGAGGCATTAGCAATTCTAAGAGAAATTAAATTGTATTTACATGATAGACACTACCATGCCTTTTGAGACAAGGGTCTACTGTAAATTTCAAAAATTGTATCATAATGAGTAAAAACCCCACCTTTTGAAGCCAGCTTATAGGTCCTATTCTGATGTTGGACTAAAATTAGATTGTCAGGAGTACAAGAGAGAGAATGACAGAGTCATTCACACATCTGCCTTCTGTTCCTACTTACATCTGGCAAAAAAAGTGACACTACAAAATCCACAGACAAATTCCCTATGTTTACCCATTATTACTGCATGAAAAATATCCAGCAAAACAAGTTGTGTATCAATCTAACTTTGTCTGAGCTTAGGGGGACCATACCTAATTATGAGAATTTAATTTCAATGACCTGAAAAGGCAGTGTGGTGCTGCGCACACTCCAAGGGGAAGTGAGAGACCTGCCAGGCTTGAGAGAGGGGCCTGTGTGGATCACCTGAAGCTCAACAAGGACAAGTTCAAGATCCCTGGGCCAGAGCAATCCCAAACATGAATACAGGCTGGGTGTGGAATGGATTGAGAGCAGCCCTGAGGAGGACCTTGAGATCTTGGGGGATGAGAGACTGGACATGACCTGGCAAGGTGCACTTGCAGCCCAGAGAGCCAATTGTGTCCTGGGCTGCATCTAAAGAAGTGTAGCCAGCACGGCAGCGGAGGTGACTCTCCCCGTCTACTCCATTCTGGTGAGATCTCCACCTGGAGTGCTGCATCCAGCTCTGGGGTCCCCAACACAGCAAGGGCACAGACCAGAATCAGGCCATGAAAATATTTAGAGGCATGGAATATCTATCCTATGTGGTCGGTAGAAAAGAAAGAATTGGGGTTGTTCAGCTTGGAACTGAAAGATGGTAGGTTTAGACTAGATACGAAGAAGAAATTCTTTACTGTGAGAGAGATGAGACATTGGAACAGATTGTCCAGAGAACTAGTGCATATCCAACCCCTGGAATTGTTCAGAGCTAGGCTGATGGGGCTGTGAGCAACTTGGTTTGGTGGAAGGTGTCCCTCATGCTGCGGAGGTTTGAACTAGATAAGCATTAAGATCTCTTCCAATCCAAACCATTCTATGACTCCATGATGTGCCAATTAATTAATTAATTAAGCCATTCATTCTCCTTCTTCCTAAGACACTTCCTGGTCTGGGTATCTCCCTAGACTGGTAAGCATGAACAAATACTCAGTGCATTCTTTCAGCTGTTGACAATTAAACAGGACACAGATCAGAACTTTTGACACCTTAAGAAACCACTGCTTTGGACTTAAAACTTCTGCTAGCAACAACTTTCATCATCTTGACCCAGAAACCATCCAAAAGCAGGACTCACAGTCACTTGCTTGCAAAGAAGATATTCCTGCTTGATTTTTACTTCTCAGGTAGCTACTACAATGCTATGTTCTTTGAGAATTTTTGGGGGAAAACAAATTAGGGAATTTTACTTTAAAAGCTTCTCTAAACCTTCCTTGAAAAACTGAAACAAAATGGTTGTAAAAGCTTTTAAATGAAAATTGACAAGCAACTTCTTTAAATACCCACACATTCTCAGACTTACTTTCTTGCACCACTCTTTTATCTTTTATAAAACTTAATGGATGACATATTTCATTCCACAAGTTGACAATGTTAAAAATGTGCTATTCCTTTTAGTTTTAGTATACTGCAAAGCCAGTGATAGCTACAGGCACTATGAGCAATATACGACTGAAGAAAAATGAGATTACTGCTGATAAAGAGCAAGTGACTTTCATATCTTAAAAGAGTCTGAAATCCAGCAAATATGATCCCCAGCAGCAGATGCCCCACAGACAGACAATGAAAGAAAAATGGTAGAAAAGTACTCAATGTGACTAGTTGTTTCCTACAGCTGGAATGGCAGCAAAATGAAATAGCATGCTGCCTGCATGAAGAAATCCTCTCTGGGAAAAACATAATCCAAAAATTACTAACAGTCTAACAAAATGAGCAGTAATTTTCTATTGTGGGAAAACTGATGTTACTCTGACTCACCTTCTTTGGTAAAAGATACCTTTACTTTGGAAATGTTGCTCTTTTGAAGGCTATCATGCTGTTATCATCAACATTTATCATAATAATGATCAATTTAATGGAAGTGCAGTACAAAAGCCAAACCTCAGGCTGGAAATATATATTAATGACTCTTTAACAAAAGGAATGAGACATATGCAAATGTGAAATAGCTCCTCTCTCTGTCTATTAAGGTGTTCCTGGAACATGAATGAACATAATTTCAAGATGTCAATATTTCATGTTACAGTGCAACCCTTACCTTGTATCCTGATGATTTGATATGCACTCCTCGCTTGGTCAGTGTAGATTTCATTCGGATGAAAAAAGAGCGCTCTAGAGTGTTGTCAGTGGTTAGCAAACTGGGGTTTGTAGATTCCACTAGGGAATAGAAAAAATACATATACAGATAATTTAGATTTTATACATCCCCTCTAAGCTATTTTTCAGGTGCAATCCTTGAACTCACTAAAAATAAATGACTGATGGATGCTAAGAGTGTTGTAATCAATTTACCTCATTTAGAAAATGTTTATTTAGCAAAAAAGAAATTACAAAAATATACATATACTCAGTATGTCTCATTTTCAAGTTATTTTTCCCATAGAATTTTTAAAAGAGATTTGTCTCATTAACTCCTTCTTGCACAATTTAGCTACGACTGGAGTTGGAGGGTATGTCACTAGAGTAGATGACATTGTTTTAAAAACTGTTTGTCAGTATTTTGTAAAAGGCAAAGTCTTACTTAGGTAGCAATTCTTCCCTGAAAGAGGCTGCAAATTCTGCAGATTTTTATTCCCTAGTCTCTCCTCAACTGCAGGGATACCTGAGTCAGTGCTGGATTTGTGTGCCTTGATTTCCATATTACTGAGGCTAAATTAGGGCCTTTATTATCAATAAAACATTAAACAACCCAAAGGCAAGAATTCTCAAGTAAATGACACATATTATTATTATTTTCATCATATTACATATTATTGGCAATTAATTAGTCAATAATGAAATATCTTTGTAGTCCAGCTGAAGGGATATTACTTGCTCACAACTAAATATAGCTCTCACCTGCACTTCTTCCTCTCTTAACTGCAACCACTTAAAAATACTTAAGACTCTCAGTATAAACCATAATAGAATAGCATCAGCACTGAAGTATTCTTTATACAATCTTTATGATTCCTATTTCTTAGCCCTGATAATCAACTTATTCCCAAAATACTGTTAATGGGAAAATTCTGGAGCAGCTTACAACAAACAGGCATTATTGGAGACAAAAGAAATTTCAATTTCAGTGAGGAATTAACAAGGAACAAAAAAAGTATTTTGAAATGGTACTTCTATTGTTTAGAACCATACAAACTACTAGTAGAAAGTGTTTAAGTATTTAAAATGCATTTGTTATGCAGTCAACAGAAGTGTAAAAAGTTGTTTGTGAGCTAAGGATTATATTGAATTGTCCTTGATTTAATATGGTCAACTTGTCTTGTGTTTGTGACATTTCAGCTCTGTTGTGATAACTGACAACAGTGGCCCTTTCTTTAGTGTGTCTCTTAAGATGTTTTTTGTTTTAGAGAGCATGAATTTGATGTCATTTTAAATGTACAGCTCTTTATCACTCGAGGGAAAAGCAAAGCCATGTTATATTTAGTACTTTCATTTCTTCTGATTAAATATGAATTACTATGAAATTTTTCTCATCATCTAACACACCATAATACGCCAACAGCTTTTTAATACACTGTATAAGCACAAACTTCTGCTCTAAGAGTTTAATTTGCCCCTCTAATCCAATCACATCAACCTTATTTCTCTTATCAGAGATTCCCATTTTGAATTAAATGAGCTCATTAGTTTTAATCAAAAGCAGAGAGATCAAAACTTAAACGTAAATGCTTTAGATCAGAACTGTCAGTCAGCCGTGCAGTTCTATTTTACTAAAACACAAGATCAGAGACCCTTAGAACCAATTTTTTCTCGTAAGGGATGCCAAGAGCTTGAAGATGCTATATCCTTTTTTTTTCCTCCCAAGGACAGATTATACATTTAAGGTTAGACTTAATTTAGAGTATTTTTTTTCATCCTGGTGGAAATGGGGAAGTATGCCATTCTGCTGTTGTCTCTTTCACAGTTATTGGTGCGGGTCCTTGGAGACCTGAACAAATGTAAAGCCATCACAATCCATGCAACAAACCTGTCCTCAAAAAATTCAGCTCTGTTCAGCAATATCACATAAGAAATAAAACTCTGAAGGAAAAGGTATTTTTCAGGGTGTGGGACAGTGAAACCCTGAAACAGCAGCCAAAGTCACCCGGATAGCAGCAGTACTGGTAAGATGAGGATCATAATTAATTATTATTTTTATTGTACAGTACAGTGCAGTAGTTAAAGAGTACATTAGGAAACCACAGCATGGGTGCTTCCTGCTGTGTGAAGAAATGATAAAATCAGCTTAACAAGTGTAGTTGTTGTAGTCCAGCACGTTATACTCCAGTACAGGCAGTAAGTACAATATGCCCTCCTGTGTTCTAATGGTAATTACCTAAACATACAGTATTAAACACATAATATCTTATGCTCAAAGAAAGATCAGGCTGTAATACATATGCACCATTCCCAAAAAATGGAAATTAAAATTTCTCTTTCATGCATAGTTAAATGAAAGAAAGGATAACAACTGACATATCGTAAAGTGTACTTGGCATTGACATTTTTTAGGCTCATTTAATCACATATCATAAGATAAACATAATTTTGCTGTTATTATACTATGTACAAACCTGTACATCTCTAAGTGAATATTATAAAGTGTACATATTTTATCCAACAGATTGTAACAGTGTCATACAAATATGTATTCTGAAGTGTTTGATTTTCTTTAACAAAAAGTATCTGAGAGTGTATGTGTGAGATGGCATTGGTTACCTAAAAGTCCAGAACAGCTTATGAACAGCATTTTGAATTTCTCTCAAGAGAGAACCACTAGGGCTGATAGTGCAAATCTGCATTCAGAGTTGCACCCACCCACAGTAGGTACTATAACAATGCTGATGGTGATTATGCATGCAGAATTTTAAAAATAGGATATGCATAGAACAGATCCATCGATGTCAGTGAGATTTGTACAGGAATATAAGGAATATGGTCCATTATGAGTTCTCAGGAGTTGGTTTTAAATGCCTATCACTGAATATTTTCAATTTTTTTTTCAATTATGTCAAATTAGACTTGCAATCTGAGGAATATCAGAATGAAACTCTGGCAATTAATTTTGATTAAAAAAAATTTATAATCTAAAACATTTAAAAAGCCTGAAATAAACAAGGTGCACTTGGCTTGATACTGTAGAAACAAAAGGTGTCTTTTTACACTGAAAAATAAGGCTTCTGGCTTGAATTACTAGTTGAAACCTACTGTTGAGTTATAAACTTCTGAAACTGTGAGTTTAGAATGCTAATTACATGATAAAAGTCAATGCTTACTGCATGTGAATTAAAGTATTTTACACTGTCAGACTTAGAAGTATAAAAAATAAGTCTGGGTTGTCTTTGCAAAGCAGGTAATTGTGTACTCTGTTGGGAAAGCACTTGCCTTTGTGTGCCCTTAAACATCTTCAGCAGATACTACTAAAGGAATAAACGTCTTCTCTTTCCACTCCCAAAGCTGATAATGCAGAATGAGATTTCTAGACACAAGGAATGCATTTTCCATTTCAAAGGGAACAAAGCTACAATCTACTGTACCCATAAGGAAGTGTCACAAATGTTAAAAAGCTTAAGTAAGAGCCACAGAGGTAAATGGGAAGATACTATGAAACAGCAGCCAATTCACAAAACTGTTTTATTATCTTCTTAACTTACTGAGATTAGCTCTGTTGGCCAGAGCATGGTGCTAGTAATGCCAAGGTTGTGGTTTTGATCCCTGTATGGGCCATTCACTAAGGAGCTGGATTTGATGATCCTTGTGGGTCCCTTGCAATTCAGAATATTCTGTAATTCTGTGAACTTCTGTGATTCTAAGCATTCCTTTGTGAACAAACCCTGTATCTCTGATCCTCCAAGGGGCATTGCTTTGGGAATAATCTTGGCCCCAGACCCCACAAACCAGTCATGCATTGTTTAATTTCACGTGCTAGAAAGAGTTCTGATTGCACATAACCGTGTCCATAGCTGTCTGGAGGAGTGAGGTCCATGGCTGCAATCCTGCAGGGATCTGCAAAGGTACTGTACACCTGCATGCAGTCTGACAACTTTAATTCTATAGAGCAAAACAATGTAAACCAATGCAAATAATTGCTCTTACACAGCAATAGCACAAGTACTGTCCCTGTGAGTGATTCATAAGCACATTCAAATTTAGATAAACAATTTGTCCCCCAGGAAAAAAAAATAAGTTCCACATTTGATTTATGTCTTAAATAACAAAAAGCTGCTACACTAGGCTGAATAATGTTCACCAACTTCTGGGCTTTTTTTCTTGACAAGCACTAAAAATTGAGAGGAGAAAAATGCAATTTTGCACACCCAACAGAGAAAAGACAGGCTTCTAATTCATAGGAAGAAAGAAAGGTATAGAGGAAAAACCAAAAACCAACAAGGAATTTAAGATTGGTGGAAAAAAAATACCTTATCGTTTAACATAAAGGATTTTCTGGATTTTGTAGCATTTTAGGAAGGTTTCACCTGGCTTTCATTTCACTTCCTTGAAAACATATGTCCATACAATTTTAAAAAGACATTCTCAAACACCAATTATACAGCCAGCTCTTAAAAGAGAAATAAAAAACCAAAAAACAAAACAAAAAAAACCCGAACATACAAAACAGTAAGAAAAAGGGAGCTCTTTTCCTGTTATCTTCTGCACTTGCAAACACCTTCTCACATTTTCTTAAAGTATTATGAACCGTTGCATAGGGAACTGAGACTCATTATGTTCAGGTGAATATACAGGTAATATAAATCTACCATTTTCAGTTGAACTAGTTGCAGCTTTTTTATGTTTCACTTTCTTCTATGCAGTTTATTGTCTGTAACCAGGCATTAAAAGACTAAGAAAATTTTGCCTTGAGTACTTAACTGCCTTTAATCAGAAAAGTGACTCTCAAAAAATCATTATTTGCCAAGATCATTCTCTCTCAGTATCTTACAGATCAAAATTTGATAATTTTATAAACTAAAAGATAGATTTTCACAACTACTAACCCAACAAATAGGGCAAAAGGCAAAAGCTGCAAGGTAAGAAAATTTATTTCCAATAAGTGCAAGTTACTACACTTAGCAATTGTGCAAATGAATGATTTTAAGTCAAGTTGGTTCAGGCTGATCACAGGCTGAACATGGCAAGTAGTGGAAACTAAAATTTGTTCTAGGAAACAGTTGAAGATTCCT